CGGGGCGGCCAACGGGACCCCCCGGCCCAGCCGATCTGTTGTCAAGCCCCCCTGGCGACAGGGAGCCTCGCTTTCCGCCTGGGGGGTGTTCCAGCCATGGGGCACACTCAGCGTAGCCCGGGCTGCACTGTGAGGTCTTTGCCGTTCTTTGGGGAGACCCTCTCCGTAACCTTTTTTTCTCCACATTCAAGGAAATGTTTTTCAATTGTCTAAAAAGCGAACAGTGTAGAAAAATGCCACAAGGCCAGGTGTCCCCGGGTCATGTTGCTGCCTGTCTTGCTCCTGCCCACATCCCCCTCACCCGCAGACACCCCCCGCACCCCCGGCTGCTCTTCCACCGCCAACATCTCCCACCGGCCGTGAATCGCTACGGGCTTCGCCCTCCGCCCCAGCACCCATTGGGACACGGGGTTATCCCTCGCACCTCTTCCTTCCCCGAACCGAGGTCTCACCCCGTGTGCCGGTGCCAGTCGGCTGAGGCGAGCAGCGCTATAGGCGCCCGATGCCCCCACCGCCCGGTACTGACTGGGACAGCTCTGCCCTGAAAACCGGCGGGGGAGACAAGCAGCGGGGACGGCGGGGCAAAGGCCGCCGGGACAGCCAGCTCCTTTCCCCAATCCCTTCCAAAACACACGGGGCCAGGCCCGGGCTCCCGTGCGCACAGGAGTTTATACACGCGTATTTCCTTCGTCAAGCGCGAACACCATCTGGTTATCCGCCCAGCGCAGCACGCTGCGGGGCTGCTACCCGCCCTGCGGTATTTTTTGCAGCTCAGCCCCGTCGAGCCCGGCAGGTGAGGGGAGCCGAGAGCGAAGTGGGGCGGCCCCCCCAGCCCAGGCACACCGGCCCGGCTCCCCCCGAACCGCTCCCTGCAGTTTCATCCGGCGTTATTGCAGATCCAGCCCCTTCTACCAAACAACAGATGCAGCCTCTAATGCAAATATTGCCATTTCCCTGCTGAATTAGCCTTGTCACTTAGCCCAGAAGCTGGCAGCGTTAAGCCAGCTTGCATTTTAATTTGGCCCTGAAGTTACTTATTTCATTATTGATCAAACATAATGCTGAATCAATGTTCATCTTGTTACCTGGGCCATTTCCATGTAATACAGTGATAGCACTGCCTGGAGTTACTCATTCCCATCCCAAAGTGACTTTACCATAAAATCAATGCTTGTTTGTTACTGATATAAGGCAGCATCCGTGGGATGAAGAGCAAATAAAGCAGTTACGCCATCGCGATCTAAAAGTTTGGACAGAATATGTACATGAATAGAGACTTTGATATTTAAATGTATTTTATCAGCATCAAAATCATTCTACCCAGGCCAATGGGACAGAAAATCTCAGGCTGCAAGATGACGGGCTTTGATACTGTAGGAGTTGCCATTTGTAAACGCTACCTGGGACCTAATGGGGGAATCGTTTCTAAACCAGAGTATCATTACACAGCAGATGTGGGGTGTAAGCTCTTCCGGGCAGGGACTGTTTTGGAAAAACAGTAATTAATACAATAGTAATTAATGATTGTGTCACAAGATTAGACTCCGCGCAGTGTTATCTTCAGCACAGCTGCTGCTCCTTTTCTTTTCTTGTGTTTTCCCCTCCAGCTAATAAACCTAGTTACAAATTACACGAAGCTGTCCGCATGCCCGGCTCTCCCCTGCTGAAACCTCCCATCGGGGATGCCCCGCTCTGCTTCCACGCAGACACCAAGAGCATCCTTTGAGCTGCATTTGCCTCGCAGGGAGAGGCCGCACGGCCAAGTCCCGTCCACGCCCCCCCTCTCCCCCCACTCCTTCCCCGGTGCATCGGCTCCATCCCGAGACAGGCACTTCCCGAAGGGCTGGAAACGAGGGACGAGGGTACCTAGCCGGGGAAGCCGGAGAGGAACCGTCCCCTCGGCACCGTCCCGCCTCGGCGCCCCAGGGACGGGTCAGAGCCCCCGCAGTGCGGGGAAGCGGC